ACATGCATTTTTCAAGTAGTTTTTCACATGTCCATGGACAGCATGCGTTTAAGTTTTAAACTGAAGAAAGATAAACCAATTTAAAGATTGATATATATCAGGTGAAACTATAAAAATATATATTTTTTAATGCAGTTGGACTCATGTGTTGACATATTTTACATATTCTTATACTGTTTAATACCATGCAAAGGCGTTGAACCTTGCTCCTGACTGTCATATTTTCAATGAATATTTTCTGCAATATATATATATATATATATATATATGTATATATTCTGTTACAAAAATTGTACATCACCTTCTGATAGAATAAACCAACTGATTTACAGCCAAAAAAGTCAATGCAGATTAAATATTTTCAAGAACAACAAAGCTGCAGTAACAGTAGCCTACTAACTGTAGCTGAACTACAGCCAGCGATGCCTGATGTCCAGTTTACAACATTAAATCAATATTCACTCCTTAGATGTTACTTGATGTTACCAGATTTTATTTACCTGCCACGGTCTCCTATTATACTGTAGAAGGATTGGCAAGACATTCTTGAGCTGCACAACATTTCTTGCTTTCCGTCGGCCATCTTGGTTTTGAAAGATTTGTGTTCAACTGACAACACCTGGCCAGTGGGTGGCAGTGTATGGCATGATGCACTAGGCTCCACTGTAGTGACTTTATGCGGGATTTCTAGGCTACTTATGCGGTGGTGTGTCTGTGTCACTCTGCAGTTACACCTCCAGAACACCAGTGGGGTTTCTGTGAAGTGCTGTAAAGTTTAGTTCAAAACACACATTAAACACACATTAAACATGGCTTAATAGAGAAAATATCAAACACAAGTACACAAATCAGCTTCACTATAACTCGCAGCATTCACAGACAAACACTTGTCTTTATCTGGACACATTTTCCCCACAAATACAACATGCTAACCTTATTAGCACAAGCCTATGGCATTCTACATTGTGTAAATTAGCCTAGCAGCTAGCAAACTTTTCCTTTTCTCATATGAAGCCAGGGACAACAGCAACATTTAACAAAGGTAATGGTACATAATTTGGCTACAGTACAAATCAGAAGATTTACCGACAAAACAACTGTCTTATACTAAACACGTTATCCAAACAAATACAACATGCTAACGTTATTAGCACAAGCCTATGGCATTTTACATTGTATAAGGTAGCCTAGCCACAAGCGAACTTTTCCTCTGCTCATATGAAACCAGGGACAACAGCAACATCTAACAAAGGTAACGTTACAAAATTCGGCTCTATTACAACTCACAAGGTTCACTGACAAAACAACTGTCTTATACTAAACACGTTTTCCAACCAAATACAACATGCTAACGTTATTAGCACAAGCCTATTTTACATTGTATAAATTAGCCTAGCGACGAGTGGAGATTTCCTCTGCTCATATGAAGCCAGGATAAATCACACACAAGACTTAAAATGCTATTTTTGTGGAGGCTTTAATGTCATCACAATTTATTGTTTCTTATATGTGAAATAAAAGTAAATAAAAACTTTGAATCCACTGAGGGAAATGGTTTCAGCTTACAGAAATAGACAGGAGGTCTGCGTTGCCATGACGCGTAGTTACATTTCTGGGGAGGTGCACGTCAGGCTATGATAATAAATGGGAATTAAAATCAATATGAAAGCAATAAAAAGACAAGACAGGTCAGATAAAATCAGGATTTGCTTTCAGATAGAAGTATGTTTATAGGAGAGACTTAAACAAAGCCAGTGACTCAGACAGCCTTACAGCCTCTGGCAGGTCATTCCAGAGCCTCAGGGCCTCAATGGCAAAAGCTCTGTCCCCTTTGGTCTTCAGTCTGGACTCTGGGACAAGCAGAAGACGTCTGTCCAAGGATCTCAGACTATACAGAGGTTCATAAGGGACCAGCAGGTCTGAAATGTAATCTGGAGCCAGGCCATGAGGAGCTGTAATGAGGGCAATAATATCTGAATCATGCGATCACAATGTTAAAACAAACACGCACACAGACAAACTTACATTTTAGATGATTCATGTATGAATCACTGAACTGGCTGCAGCTTTAATCTAGAGAGCAATTTCACTGGATTCATTTTCAAACGTGTTCATTTCAATGGTCCTTCGTATTTGAAACAGTTTTTGACTCCATATAATTCCTCATATACACTTCGACGTATGCAGTGTCTGTAAAAAAAAATCTAAATAATTGTGTAATTTGTATTTAAAATCTTTGTCATATAAATGCAGTGGAGTAAAAAGTATTAAGTAGCATGACACTAAAACAGGCCTGAAGTACAACAACCTTGATTAAAAGCTTGATTAAATGTCCTCAGCAGCCAGTGTCTTTACTTTGACCACTGGGTGGCGCCGCTCTGCCTCCACACTGTGTCCAGTTTGTTAACAGCCCTCCAGATAAATCAGATGAATGAAAATGAGACCTTTTTGTATGTCTCCCTATGAGAAGGAAGCTACCTTATTGGAAGTGTATGGATACACAGTTTACAACCATAATTTTTTTTGCACAAATAAAAAAAACATACTAAATATCTAGCAGGCTACTATGCAGACATCTTGGGAGAGTCTGGTTTTCAAGGTCTGCACTCAATGTACTCAAGTAAGGGACTGTTCTTTACTTGTCAGGGTGAAGACCTTTGCACACTGAGTTCTTTTTTTTCAGGTGCATTTCTTTAATCAGTCATCTGAAAAAGAAATCGTTACACACAGAAACCTTGCAAGCTGATTCCGATGCGTTTTATTGTTCTATTCGTTGTAAAAATTCGCAAAACATGACAAAATGAAAAGACACATTTCGTCCTTTGCCTCTCTCCACTGGAGTCACCTATCTGGCCGTCACCACTTCCTCCGTGTTTCATTTGGCACCGTGGCTGCATGAAGGGGCGGAGCTGTCTTCCTTCTCAGTCCTCCGAGCCCCGGTCTCACTCCGAAGTCGTCAAAATCCGGCGCTTTGGCAGTGACTTGAGGCATCAGAAACCAACGAAAAAAGGTGTCCTTTAATATCGGCATGATATGAGGCTAGTTGCCGTTGTAGTTTGACGGTGCCAAATCCTGTTCTTTTTTCCTAAACCTAAACACGTGTTTTTGTTGTACCGACATAGTGCTTTTGTTTTGAAAGAGAGTCCAGACTGTATGTAAACGTTAAACTTCCTGTGAAAACAGAAGTGTATTTTGAACGAAGACAATGCATGTAACAGGCAGAACTTGACACAGTGTCCCAGAACGTCAACAACCAACACACCCAAGGTACCTTGGATGTCGTATGTGGACGTGGAAATGTCCATGACCAAACGTCAATATGTGACGAGGTCGGAGTGAGAATGTGTTGGTCCTCCACATTCTGTGTGCAGTCCACATCCTCTTCCTCCTCATCATCATCATCCTGAATATCTGAGCTGTCTGAGTTACGAAATGATTCTGCCACATGCTCTTCGCTGATTCTTGGTCAGACGTCTCTAAAGGCTCTGGCAGACATGAAAGACACAGAAAATTGAACCTGTTCCGAAAATTCTAATGATGAACCAAAGTTTTGGACACAGTGTGCGAACATGACTGACACAGCGTGAGGTTGTGTTTACTTTAAGACGTGCGCAAAAACAGACTCAGTGTGCAAAGGCCTTTAGGGCGTGGCTGGCGTGTAACTTTTTTTGACCCTCCCTGAAGTTACAAATATTTTTCCTTGAAATTTTTAAAACTTCCCCTTTCATGTTTGAAAGTTAAAAGTTGAAGTCGAAATTCTGGAGTTAAAAAAAAATCTGTTTTTTCACTCTTATCGTGCATGCTGTTCAGTCAGTTTAAACGGTTGACCTTTGCCCAAAATTTCGAGTGATTTTTGAGAAATATCATAATATTGAGATCAGATTCGGTTATGGGTTTTTTTTTCTGATGGAAGCCTTTGTTGCACATGATGTGTCCTACAGCTGCCAGAAATTTCAAATCCAACATTCATTTATCTTTTTTGAAATTAAAGCTATTTTTTGTTTCTGGCTGTAATAAATTAAAATCAAAAATTTGCGGTAAAAAAACAACAACAAAAAAACCCCAACAATATACGACCCCCCTCGCCTAAGCTAAAATAAAAAAACACAAGTCCCTCCCCAGTGCTTTAAAAAAAAAAATGACATGCCACCCCCTTTTTACACCAACCCTCCCCCCTCATAAGTAATGAACAGTCCCTAAAAGCGAAATACCCTCAACATACCAAAAGTAAACGTATACTGGTCCATTTCAGAATTATGTTTATAACACTAGATTATAATTATTGAGGCACTAATGTAATAATGAGCCCTGCGATAGTCTGGTGACCTGTCCAGGGTGTACCCCCCACTCACCCAATGTCCACGACCCCTAACAGGATAAGAGGTTACAGACGACGAATAATGAATAATGTGTACATTACTTTTATGTTGCTGGGCAGTTTGTGAATTTACCTCCAGGGATCAATAAAGTCTTAACCTAAAATGATACATTATATTAATATTATATATATCTGAATTTAAAAATGAACTAGAGGTAAATAAGTGCAGCGCAGTAAAAAGTACAGTAATAAAAGTACAATATTTGCCTCTAAAGTCCCTTAAAATTCTACTTCTATTGTGTTTTCCTTTAACATGTATAGATGGATAATATAACGGATGAACAAACATCATTTATCAAAACTCTTTTACACTCAAAACTTTTATAAACTGTTTTAGACCAACTTGTGTTTTAATAATGCCTCTTTTATATGACACACTATAAGCATTTATTCATGTGTGTCATCATAAAGTTCATCATTCAGTATGATTACAGCCATTTTATACTGCGTTAACAATAATTAATGAACTGTTTCTACCCTATATCTGCCTAGAAACACTGTCCTTATGAATATTAACATCATTAAAGAAGAGTGGGCACAGTAACAGTCATATATTAAATAATTTTATTTATATAAAATACCAAAACATTTGTTCAGCATCAAACTGAACACAAAGTACGGCACACACAGACTGCACAGTGAACTTTAAATAAAGTAGAAGTGAAGGTAAAGGAACAAAACAAAACAAGGGAGGTTTTAGGCTTCAGTGCGTATTGATTGTCTACAGCAGCGGACATCAGGGTCTTCTAAAGAAACAACTGGTTTCATTGAAAAAGAAAAATAATGATACATAATTAGAGAAAATGAGAGTGATTAGCTCACTGGCAGGTTTCAGTGTGTAAAGGTCCTCCCATGTGGGGGTCCCTGCAGGGTTAAAGTCCAACAGGGGTCCACGGCTTGATGTCTGTTTAATTAGATTGATGGTGCGAGCTGGGTCCACACATGTGCAACGTCACCGTCCAGGCAGTGATGTAGTTTTTGTTTTGTTTTTTGAAAAAAAAGGAAACCAACAAGAAAGACACAAATCAATGATATTCTCAAGAAGCAAAAGAAAAATCTTCATGTAACCTGGAACATCATCTGCTTGGTGGGCTGAGGAAACATTTAGGGTGAAGCTGTTTTATGCCCTGAACATTTATTGCAACCCTGACCAGCCTTTTTTCTTCCTCCCTCGCACACATCATCCTCCTCTCTCCGGTAATCCACTGAGGCCCCCTGAAGGTCCATGTCATATTTTTGTAAAGTCTCAAACATCCAAGTCAGAGTCACTGTCCGTTACTGAGAGGAGAGTTTCTCCATCTGCGCGCTCCCCGCTTTCGTCTGGACTGCACTCTCCTCCGCTTAGTGACCGCGCACCGTCTGGACACATCCGGTGGTGCTGCAACCTGGAAATAAACAGGAAAGGAAGTTAAAAGTGGGGAAGTCATCTTAAATATAGACCCAAGTGTGTGCAACAAGTTTTTGTGGAAAAAAAGAGCAAAAATAAAACTGAACCCAAAATGAAGGGTTAAAATGGATCAAAATCTTACACACAAACTGTTATATAAAAGCATCTCAAGTCCATGCGTGGTAAGCAATTTATGCCCTCACCCATCAGTGTGGGGGTTGACCCAAACACTGACCCTGAAGCAAATTATAGAGAGATAGAGAAGCGAGAAAGATCGACCAGGTCAGACTGACAGAAGGAAGACAAAAAGCTACAAGCTGAATGGCCGTGCGCTTTTACGCATGAATAGCCCTTTTTACGCACAACTTAGGGCTGAAAGTGGGTGATCAATATACTGATTCATGCTGGACACATGAAGTTACTTTAATTTTTTAAGTATTTCGATACCAATAAAACAAACAGTTATGCATGTCCGCCCTGCTCACTGTAGGCCACCAGCTGTGACACTCAATAGACAACTTATTTTGAGCAGAAGTCACTGACCTGTTTTTTGCTGCTGCCGCCCGGTCTCTCTGTCTCCGGTTTTTGAACCAGTTCCCAACCTGAGTCGGTGTGAGTCCGGTTGCGTGCGCCAGCTCCCGCTTCTTCCCGGGATTCGGGTACGGGTCCTGCAGATACCACTCTCTCAGCAGCCCCCGTGTGCGCTCTTTGAAGCAGTGCGTCTTCTGCTCACCGTCCCAGATTGTCCTCGGTAACGGGAACTTCTTCCTCACGCGGTACTTATCAACAGGTCCGAGCGGTCGCCCCCGGAGCTTCTCCGCCTCCCGGTAGTGCGCTTCCAGCCACATTGCCTGCAGTTTACCGTGCGAGGCGCGCGTAAAGCGGTGCGTCTCCAGGATGTGATAAAGCTCGCGGAAACTCCCGGTGTGGTAAGCCACCACGGCGCGAGCCCGCTGCACGGACTCGTGCTCAGAGATGGAGTCGCGGCCGTTTGCGGTCACCGGGAGTGACCAGAGGAACCGGGCCAGCCGCTCGATGTCTCCGGTCTCCTCCAGAGTCTCGCAGACGCTGGCGATCTGCGCCGCGGAGAAACACAACCCCGGGAGAGCCAGGGAAGGACAGGCAGAGGGAGGGTCCTCCGGGGAGCGGGAGCGGGCCAGAATAGGGGGCCCATCCGTGAAGTGTGGCAGCAGGATCCGGGAGGCTGAGAAAAAGTCGAGCGGCGATCTGAACACCATCTGGATGACAGAGTGAAACCAGAGAGGAAACCACGCGTGTCTCGGAGACAGTCTGACAGAAATCTGCTGAAGTCTGACTCTTTAGCTCACCTGGGAGTCAGGGAGGGACCCTGAATCTGACTCCTCATTGGACACCCTGGAGCTGATGCGGGGTTGTCATGGCAGCAGCTGTCAATCAGACAGAGAGGATTTATCTCCCTGCCTTTAAGCACAAGCTGGACACATGAAGTCTGTATGAATGACTCTCTATTGTGAACCTTGAAAAAAAAACTCAAGAGCCACTTACTGGCTTTATACAGAGCTCTGAAATTGAATAAGTGAAAGGGATAAAAACATACCACGGAATAAACTCAAGCTATTAGAGGATGAACAAAAACGGCATCAAAAACAAAAACTGATTTGACAGTTACACATTTTATTTCAGATTGTGTGTTGGAAATAAGAAAATAAATAAACCGTGAAACATTCTGGAATTTTTACATTGATGAAATTAATTTTTAAATCAATATACAATTTCCAACACATCTTAGTATATGTTTTATTGTCATTACACTTATTTTTAAAATTTGTATTTATTGTTTATTCTATTTTATTTTTGTATTTTTTCTAACTGACTGCTTTTATGTAAAGCTCTGTATATACAAACTTTTTGTTTATTTGTTATGGGCCTTCACTGTTGCCAGTTCTTAAAATCAAAATCTAAATATGACTCCTGTCTTATAATTAATAAATGAATAATAAACAAAATATCACAAGAAATTTTGACGTGTGCCTGCCACTGCTGCTGAGTAGTAAATTTATGTATACATTTACTCTATGTAATGCCTACTACAAGTGTTGCATACTACATGTATTACATGTACTGAGCACTATGTGTGTAAAATATTGTATTTATTTACAATATGTTACAATATCTATTTAATATTCATAATCCCAAAAGTATCAACAGTAGTAAAGGCTGAAGTTTTATATGATGGAGGGGGGAGGGGCAGCCAGCAGCTCAGAGGAGGCAGCTGTTTTGATGGGAGTTGAAACCTCTCAAACACCTCCTTTTCCCGCTAAAACCGTGAGTCCAATTGTCAACATATGGATACCACCAAAGAGAGGAGATTCTCCTGAACATGTAGATGTCTCTTTTATGTTTGTGGTGTCAAAAATGTGATCATGGTCGCAGGTTAGAAAACTCAGCTCTTTTCAAGAAATTTCTCCTCAGTTTACAGAAAAGTCAATGAGAAAAATCAGCCCTTCCTTCACTTGAAGGCTCACTGAGCCAAATGTGTAAGTTAATGTGATTTCATTGTCACATTTCTGCCACCAGCACAAATTTTCCTAAGTTTTGATATATAAATTGAGTATGTAGAGTGAAAATTGTGGCATTGAGAGCAATTGTTTTTAGACATGTTGTAGAAGATCTCCCAGCTCCTCCACACTCTAACGGTGATGTCATCACTCTAGCTCTCTCCCATAGACACCCATTATGAACTCTGAAACGTATCAAAAACATCATCAAATGTAAACTGCAATTTCTTAAAAACCATAATAGATATAAAAATGCTGATTTGCTCCAATAAAGTCTAGAGTCTCATGAGCGGTTTAAACTTTGAATAATTTTTCAAAGTGAAAGTATGGCGATTTGGTGTGTCCTCAAAGAGGAGGGATTTTTTGCTGTTTTCACGTTGTTTTCTCAACAATCTCCCGTTCATTTTAATGAAAATTCTTATGATGTTTTTTGCAAATTTTGTAAAAAACACTTGACAAATCTCTGAGAAATGTCATAGCACACCATTCCCAATCATTCTGCACGTTTTGATGTATGTTTTGTGACTGTGTTGGCAATGCTGTGGGACAAGAAGCGCACTGAAATATCGATGCGGAAGAAGAATAAGAAGAAGTATGAGACAGAGTAATAGGTTGTGCCTCCTGTTGCTCAACAGGCACCCCCAATAAGAAGACCATAAGCCCTCTTAAGCAGAGGAAAAATTGTGATGATGATGATGATGGTGATGATGATGATGTGTCATATTCTTCAAACAGTGAAACAGGAGAAAAGACATCCTGAAACAAAACTGACTTTGCTGTCTGCTATCAACTAAATCTCACAACCTCTCTGGTCCTGCCGGTAAGCTGCTTGCATCATTAATAGCAGTAATGTGGACGGTGTGATCACCCGGACCTGAAAGCGTATGTTTCTCTAAGTGGTGTCCCTCCACTCTAATCACTTTCTAATCACTTTTCCATTCTCTAATATCCGTAAGTTCAGAGATAAGCTGCGGCTCCGGCTCCATTCTCTTACCTTGGATTAGCATCGGGACTACACAGCCTGCTAACATTAGTCTAATAGAGCTGCATATTCAATCAGCATTAACACATTTTGGTTGCCCTGCGCCATATGCTTTGGAGTGTGGCACCCCTCATGCAGGGTTGTGTGTGTGCAGATCAAATAAAGTGTTTGACATGACTATTTGTTTACTCGATGGTGGGAAAAGTGGGTCCCCTTAAACCACTGAAAACCACATTGACCTCATATACCACATAAGCCTGTATGTGTGTGTGAAATATTAATAGGTTTTTTTTTTGGCCAAGAAAAGAAAAACACACTTTTACAGCTATATTGTACAGCATCTCATTCTATTTTGTCACACACACATTTACATGCCAAATGTGAGCTGTGTTGGGCGTGAAAAAGGGGGTCACCCAGCTTGAAAGGGTTAATGCCAATTACCCTAACAGACAGATGTCCTGGCATGGTGGTGTGAGGAGTCGTGTGCCAGTTTTTCACCCTAGATGAGGCACGGTCATGGTAATCTCTCCTTCCTTCACCAAATCAAATAAGCTTCATAATAATAATAACAGTAACAGACTGAATCACTGTGGCATCGCGCTAACAACAACAATCACTTCCAGGCAGACGACTGGTATCTGATTTAAATTGCGGAAATCTGTAAAATCAGAAAACTCATTTTTTTAGCAGTAACTGTAATGTTTAAAGATATACAGTTAAACACAATTAAATCAAAATTAGTTACACAATAAATAATTACACTTAAATAAATATTGTTTTATCTCGGTCTTTTTTAGGTGGCTAAAAACTAGCCATTAAAGGCTGAGTTTGTACAGCTCTGTTTGACTTGGTTGTGCAGTTTCCAAAAGGGGACCTCTACGACAGATTTGAAAATGAAAAAAAATCTAATGACGTGTAGTTAATAAGAGCCCGCTTCTTATACCTTGAGGCTAGCATCTCAAGACAACGTTAGCTGCCACTAGCATAACACAGCTGAATCTCCAACTAAAGTTTTGATGGTTGAGTTGCATTGTGGGTAATTTAGATGCATGGTTTGAGGAGGAAGAATACATCGAATAGAATACGAAATTTCTTCCTTTTTTAAAAACTGTTCATTGGGGTCTGATGATGTTACAAAAAAAACTCTTGTAAGAACAACCAGAAGCAAACAAACAACTACAACACGCTCTGATCCCAACTCGTCAAAGATCATCGTCATTGGACTAACCCGTCTAAATATGACGTGCTAGGTACCATCCTGCGTTTATTTTTAGGTTTATTTCCTTATGTTTGGGCAACAAAAGTCAATGGTTTGGTTTAAAATACATACAAAAAACAAACCATGTGATCCTGGGTCAAAGTCCAGAGTTTGTTGGACCCATCCCCCACCCTTCCTCCCCACCCTACAGGGTCTTCCTCACTCTTTAAATTATGGTAGTTGCTGGCGCTGATGCCGCCTGGTGCGTATCATAACCCCGCAAACAGTGCCTTTCTGTGTCTGATGCCGACATCCACTGACAAAGGTGCTGTATTTGATGAGTTCGGTTGTTGCCTGCTGCCTTTAAAACTGTGTGTATCATACCGTCGCGTCGGTGTCTGACACTGACATCACTGACGAACAGGTGGTATTTGACGAATTAGGAGTGAGAACAGGCTGAAACGTAACAGTACAATCTAACAGGCATATTCACAAACAAAGTTGATTAATGGTGATCAACAAGCACGAACATCGCAGCCAAGAAAGCTGTTTCAGTGTCAGTTTCTCTTCTTCCTCCATTCACATAAAGTGGCTCATTCTGCTGTGCTTCTTGAGTCCACCGAGCAGCGTGTTTCTATGTCTGTTTTAACAGCAGAAACAATAGACAAACACACACACAAGTCTCCAAGTGACAGTCACGGCCAGAGCTCCTCCAAGTTGAAAAGACATTCCTCTAATTGAAGCAAGAAGGAGGCACCAAACATACTTGAGGAAACATACTCGAGGTGTGTGTGTGTGTGTGTGTGTGTGTGTGTGTGTTGTGGTGATGAGGTGGCGAGTGTGTCGCAACGGTGACAATTAAGTTAATTCAGCTACATCTTCTTTCAGCCACAGGACAATTAGCGGGGAAGAGGAAAGAAAGTAGAGGTGGATGACACTTCCAGGGTGGCTGGAGGAATACAGCGCGGATTCGAAGTGAATTGCCTCCCGTGTCTCCTTATCCCCTGTAAACAAAAGCCCTGCTCCTAATTAACCTCTCCACTGACCTCCACAACTTAACACTGACCTCTTAAGCCCTGAAACTTTAACCCCCTCACCCCATCTCATGGAAGAGGCCATACAGCCCCCCTTAGTCCCTGCAAAGCCTCCTCCTCGTTAAGCCACTAATCACTTCCTGAGTCTTTGTTGTGCTTTTGTGCTCTTACAGGGATCCAGGACAGTTTGGTGCACAATGGTAACCAAAAAAAAAAAAANGGGGGGGGGGGGGGGGGGGGGTAAATTGTGGCGGGGGCTGAGAAGGACGAAAATTAAGATGTGGAGAGTGAGCGGACAGCGCTTTTTATACAATTAAGTATTGGATAATCCATTAAGCATTCATCTGGTTGCCAGGAAAGTAATCAACAATTATGATAATCAATTTATCATTTAAAAGAATAATTCAGTATTTTAGCAAATACACTAATTCGCGTTCATGCTGAGAGTTAGATGAGCAGATTGATACCATTCTAGCCACAACCAGGAAACACCTAGCTCTGAACAAAAGAGAACAAAATCCACTACAAGCAGCTCTAAAGCTCACTTATTAACATGTTGTGTCTTCCTTGTCTAATCTGTCCAAAAAACAAAAGTTTTGTTTTTTGGA